ACTCACTTAAGACTGTCACTTTGGTTCATTACTATCCCTTATGTAAAATCCAACATTTACACTTTCACGTACAACTTCTCACAAAGTCATAGACAAGACTGTTACTTACAATCCCCACCCCTGTATGCTTGTATTATTAGTCTCGTTCGTGAGGATAAGTAATTTTCCATTCAGCTCGCTGTGGTTTATACACAAGAGTAAAAGTGTTCGTGAGCTTATGTGGCTATGCATAATTTACACTGCTATTGTGTATTGACCAACATCGAGGATGAGGCAGCATACGAGGTACTTTGAAGTCACCGTCAGGCTTGACTTCATTGTCTGTCTGCCGGATGTGCGTTTGACACAGTAAACCTACCTTATGATATGCAGTGCCTGGTGGAGTTTGATGTTAACGTTGCCTAGGTGCCTACCTGTCTAACACCCTCCCACTCGAGTACTGACTCAGGAAGCTGTGAATCATTGTTGTGGGACTAGTAGATAATTCCTCGTGGCCGTCCCAGGACCAAAGGGTGGTTCCATCTAGTCTGGAGCGGGCTACCACCCAACAACCGCCTTGTGTACGCCTGGCACGTATGATTCCCCAATTTGACTGACAGGAATGTCGTTGTTGTGCATGTGGTATGCGTGTGGGGCGGCTCTGTTAATGGAACGTGGATCCCATTCACAGGCGCTCTGGTATTACTTCTTCGGGATTATAATGGGTAATGAGTGTGTGAGTTCTGCTCCTACATACGCCAGCAAGTGTTTCCAGCCAAACGAGTTCATCGTCTTTCGGACCCCAATCAGGGAGCCGAAAAGCTCCAATTGAGGCCAACTTCGAAGGGAGGACCTTCATTCCTTTCGACCAAATCATCGCTTGGCCATCCCTCCTCTTCTTTCATCCACGCCTCTGGGCGCGCAAACAACACACCTCGCGAGAGTCAGTAGGCTGACAAACGTAATACGTGGCCGAGCCATCGAAGACTGGTGCGTGAAATAATGGTGCTCAGCGGATTATTTCCTTTTCTTAGGCAGTAAAAGTCTTTCAACCCCGCTCGTTGCATACGCGGTGTTCCCACCAGATGTGAGCTAAATTGTGAAGGCATCGATGGTCGAATGTAACTAGCCTCTTTATGTCCACTGATCTAAGGGGCCAAATTCCACACCCGTACAGTAGGATTGAACAAACGCCTGCATTGTACACTCTATTCTTCAGGGTGAATGATGTCGCGCTGCCGCCATAAGTGACAAAGGTTAGCAAAAGCGCCTCGATCCCCAAAAATGGTCAGCAAAAGAGCTGGTCAAGGCCAAACTTAGAGGAACGCTTTGCACATCGATGGTGCGAAGCAAAGCCCGAAGTGACGGACAGCCAGTGCTAATGTGTCCATTGCCACTTGGCAAGTTTGTCTGTTGTCACAGATCAAAACAATATCATCAGCATACTCCAAGTCAAGAAGTCGATCTCCTGGGATCAGATACGCACCTTCTAAGTCGTGTACTCTGAACGCGATTTCGATGACTGTCAATAGCGAAGTTGAAGAGGAAAGGAAACAGTGAGCATCCTTGTCTCACACCATTGGAAATCTTAATGGGCGACGACAGCTAACCGTAAGTCCTCACTCTGTCTGAGCTCCGCGCGTATAATGCTCGGAAAATATTTACACATTTCTCAGATACTCCTTTGTGAGTAGATAGTCCCAAAGTGCACGTCCGTCCACCGAATCGAATGCACATTTGATATCGAGGAACACGACAACGGTGGGCCGACAATATATGTGACGGTGCTCCAACAACTGACGCAAGGTGAAGATGTGGTCATTGCAGCCACGACCTCGACGAAATCCGGCTTGCACTTCACGAATCTGGCTTTCACGAGTCCAAGTCATTCTGTGAAGGATGACAGAGGCAAGCAATTTTGAGACGATGGAGATCCGACTGATTCCTCTATGGTTGCCGCGTTCCGATCGTGAGCCACCCATGAAAATTGGGACTATGACGGAGCGGCCCCAGTCGGGTGGGATGGTTTTCTACTCCCAAAGTTTCACTAGTAACTCGTGTGAATCATCCACAAGAGAAGGTCCGCAGAATTTGAAGAGGGTTAGAAGTAGATAATCTGGTCCCGCGGCTTTATTTATCTTCAACAATGAGATCTCAGGTTCGACTTCTGAGCGAGAATGTGGATCCAAAGGATTAGCGCATGAAGCAGAGCAATCAGTGACCAGCGAAAAACTAACAATTTCGACTGCTTAAATTGCCTTTCTAAATGCTCAGTCCAGCACTCCAAGCGTTTTGACAAGTTGTGTATAAGCTGTCCACTGTCGTCACAAATGGTTTCGCTAACAGCAGCTTTACTGCTGTTTGTTTTCCGTATCAGACGGAATAGCTTACGATGATCACGAAGGGTGGCGGGCATTTCCATCTCTGAATCACGATGAGACCACCAGGATTCGCTGTCTCTCCTCAGACTGGCGCGGAACTTTGCCCGGAGAATCCTGCGAGGCACACTGTGTTCGCTTCCAGCCGGAATATGCCGGCGAGCAGCGATAAGTTCCAAAGTCTGCGAAAAAATCTAATGTCCATGTCGGTAGTTAGATTTAGCACATGGGGATTTGCTTCTTGCTGGTATTTTCTGGTTTATTTGGGACCAGTGAGCTTCAACTGCATCCAGTGAGCGTTTATCCTACTCGCATGACAACGTTTTTGATTGGCAATCAAAACAGCTGGCTTCGCCAGTTGGCTGGTGTCAATACGCTCACAGCGTCGTCGTGGGCGTCCGCCAAAACGCATCCTCTGGTCAACACATACAAGTGCATGGTCGGTATCCACACATGTGCTCCAAATCTAGTGACAGTTCTGGACGCAGCCTCTCCATCGGTAACTTATCGCAACGTGATCGATTTGCGTCCATAGCTGTTTCGAGGCTGGTGGGCGCCAAGTCACCCTCCGGCGGTTGCTGTGTCGGAAATTAGTGCTCGTAAGAAATAACCGAGCATCCTTACACAATTGAAGTAACCGCCCACCGTTATCATTACGGGAGCCTACACCATGTTGGCCGCCCAGATGCAGTTCATCAGTGGATAATTTGCCAAAGTGAGCGTTTAGATGCCCAGCCAGCACTACAGTGTTCGAATTACTTCTGTGGCATAGGAGTTCGTTCAAGTAGCCATAGAAGTCGTCGTGTACCGATTCATCGCTAGAGTTTGTGGATGCATAGGCAGCGATGACGAATAGACACCGGTTAGTCCCATGCGGCTTCAAAGCTGTGAACCAGCCTGCCCATCAGAACGCACCCAACCGGCTACTGACTGGGATCCAATAAACCAGAGCAGCTTCAGCCCGGAGACTCAGGGCAATACCAAGACCGGCTTGGCCGGTGTTCAAAACTGCGTCGTCATCGGATGTGCGCAATGAGAAAGTGCTTCTGGTGCCACCTGAAGGGGATCGCAAAGTGAGCACTGAGCTCGGGTCTTGTAGGCCGGTCTTCGATAAACAGCAGCTATCGATGGAGAGGGCCTCTAATGTTCGAGCAATTGTTTTCCATTAACCGTTTTGTAGCAAGGTGCGTACATTGAGGCACGCCAAGCTGAAGGATGATCGGGGACTCCCAAAGGAAGCCGATGAACCAGGCTTGCCGCTTGCTTTGACGTGGGCTTGTCGAAAGCACAGGAATGACCCTCCGCCTTCACATGTGAGTTGAAACTAGAAGGTAAAAGTCTATCAAAGCAAGGTGGCGTAGGGCCAAGAATTGGGGGGTTGAAAACAAGGGGATAAAGATGAAGCTGGAATGGGACGATAAGGGCGGAAACGCGTAAGTGGGGGTAGGCTTGACAGTAACATCTGAACGACATCCACCCCGCTCGATGCAACAGATAGGGCACCGTTAATTATTCACAGCGGTCATCAGAGTATCAAGAAAATTTTTGAAGAGTGATTCACTGCGCTGCGTGGGCAGGATACTATCAGGTTGCACAGGCCTAGACAGGAGAACAATTAGGGTTCTCAACCAAAGCCTTTGGTTCAAAAACCCGACCACAAGGTAGCGAGTTTGCCGTTGGGCTACAATGAGTCCATTACAAGGAATAAGTTCCACCCTCATTCCAAGCACCGGCCTGGAGGACCAAGAGGCTGAGTTTGTCTGGCCTCTAACGATTGAGCAATCTGGCACGAGATTCACTGAAATAGCAATAAAGCACCACCCAGCACATCTCAATGGATCTCAGAAGCATACAAACCATTGTACCACGGTAAGGTCCAGCCGCATTGCGATGGGCCAAAATAGGTACTTATTTATATATATTAACATATTTATTTGTACGATACATTGGGGCTAGTTGATAGCAGGTCAGGGTATAATCATCAGATGATGTGATGCTACGCATAAACCCTGCTTGTACCCAGATTTTTCACCAATATCTAACAAAACACCTATCTTGTACAGTTGCACCTACTACCTTCCAGGAAGCGCGAACGTCTCTAGTATAAAATTCATGAGAAGTAACTTTGTTGCAAGTTAATATTCGGACCATTCCCGTAAATGCTTTAGACTTCGTAGTATAAAAACTGCTGCCACACTCCATGGTAAAGCAAACCAGTTACTGTGGTTGCAGACACACAAGAGAAAGTTTTACTTGTTTGTAGAGATTATAAAAAGCAATTATCATATACTTTGGCATTGTTTAACGTAAGTCCGAATTCGAACATTTGAAAAAATAGTGGAGTAAGAAAGACTATCTAAAATGGTGCCCACTATTACAGCCAGCATATTGAGGGTTTCTGTACAAACGGTCATTCTGACAGGCGATCATAAAGTTCGACTGTTCTAGATATTCTTGCTTAATTAAAGGAATAAGCAAGAGATTACGGGAGAGACTTGGAGACTATGGGCATATCCGCTCTTTTGATGAATCATAGATCGAAATACTCTTATGGAAAGCGATCAAACGTGGATCGTTAGATTAATTTACCGTTAGTTTAAGCATTTGCACTACACATTTAGCCATCCCTGCGGATAGCGACGTCCTGTTGAGCGTTCTGGTTCATTGAAGTATTTTGATCCAAAGAAGACGAATCAAGCTCGATTTGGTGACTCATCTGTTTACTATTTGGACTTCATCTGCTATGACGTCCAAATGCTTGTCATGTTTTAAAGGAGTTACTTCGCGCTCTAAAGCCTTGCAGTGCACCATCTGCGATGGGTGGACACACATAGCTTGCTGTGGAGTCGGCCATGATTTGTACGAATTTCTCCTGCGATCCAACGTTCCGGGCTTAGGCTTCTTTTGCGATCTGTGCCGTGTTACGATAAGCAACAGACGATGCCTTGATGGACTGCCTGCGCTCAGTCCGCTCACCTCTCCTGCTCAAGCCGAGATGAACATCGCTGCTGTCCCACTACCAACTCCTTGCCTTATCACATGCGATTCTGGCGCAGCTACCCCAACGAGTAAGCGTAGTCGAGCACCTTCCACCACATCTACAGAGACGCCGGCGGTTGTTGACCAGAGCGAAGAGCCTAAGCTGAAGACGTACGCAGAGGTAGTAAAGGAAAACGTACGAAATGTTGAACGCAAAAGCAAGACAGGAGTAAGGCTAAAATCCAAGTCGTCATCATCTCAGTCGCAGCTGAATTTGGTTCTCGATAGAGTCAGTCAACTGGAGAAACTGCTTAAGGACGGCCCCGCTGTTCTGAAGCCGAAGATCCATGAGAATGCCACATCGCCATCCCGCGACCGCTGCCTTATCATCGTGAATGCAGCCGAGTCCACCAAGGCTACCCCAGCTGAAAGGATTGTAGATGATCAGGAGTTCCTACAACGGATGATCTCTTTACTATTCGATGAAGGAGAGCAAGGAATCAACATTGTTTCAGCCTTCCGCCTCGGTAAGAAACAGGAGGACTCCTCAAAGGTTCGTCCACTTAAAATTGTATGTCAAAATGATGACGAGGCCCGTCGCATTCTTCGACGAGCTCCGCGACTTAAAGGTGAATCATTTTATGTATTGCGAGATCTTTCCCCTGAGGATCGAGTGAGAATGAAACAAGCGGTTGACGAACTCAGATCCCGTCGAGACAACGGTGAGACAGATTTACATATTGTGGATTTTCGCGTAGTCCGAAAAGCTACCAAAATTCGCTGGAAACCACTTCTTGTCATACCCAGGCGTTAGAGGTGAAGAACGGATTGCGCGTAATTTCCGCTAATGTGCGCAGTATTCGAAACAAACTCGATGAAATTCAATCTTTTGCCTCAGCGAATCATCCTGACATTATGGCTTTCACCGAGACCTGGTTGTCCGCGGATATCCTGGACTCCGTGGTGCAGATCCCCGGTTATCATCTCTGCCGAGCTGACCGCAAAGGAGGGAGATCTGGTGGCGGTGTGATCCTGTACTGGAATGCAGACCTCAAGGCTCATCTAGTTGAAGCTACTTGTGATGGTAATGGTGGTTTCGAAGCCCTGTGGTGCCGGGTTCATGATGGATGCAGATCCCTGATAGTCGGGGTTGTCTACAGAGCTCCATTGGGTTCCGGAGCTCGGCTGCTGGATTCAATTAAAAAGCATGGTGGGGGAAAGGACTGTGTACTATTGGGTGACTTCAATGCCCCAAGTGTCGACTGGGATTTGCTGCACTGTGCTACTTCTTCAGACGTTTTCGCTGCGGACTTTTTGGAAACCGTTCTCGAGTGTAACCTATTTCAACATGTTACTGTGCCTACCCGTATATGTGTCGGACAAACCCCCCATATTCTCGATCTTGTGCTTTCCCCGGCGCAATCAGATGTCGCAGACGTTACCACTCTTCCGCCTATTGGTAATAGTGATCACTGTACGATCTCATTCCTCTGGACTCGACGCCTCACTCTTCACAACCAAGATACTTTCCGCAGGAATTTCTGGCGTGCCGATCCAATCCGCCTGCAAGCGGCCGCTAGCGGTATGGACTGGAATATCCCTCTATCCTCGGACCCAGATGAGGAGTGGAAACTTTTGTACTCCAAGCTGATTTCCCTTGTTGAGCAGGTTGTTCCTGTTTGCAAAAGGCGAACGTTTACCAGAGGCCCTCCATGGATAGACCGAGAATTGAGGTGTTTAATGTCCAAAAGACGTAAATTATGGGACCGATTCAAGCTTACTCACTGCGCGCTTGACTATTCGGAGTACAAATTGATCAGAAACGACTGCATCACGAAAAAACGTCAGAAACGGCATCAGTATGAACGCAGTTTGGCAGTGCAATCCAGGACGACACCGAAGGCACTCTACTCCTATTTGAAAAGAAGTACCAAAGCTGGCAGTGGCATTCCTGCCCTGTTTTCTGCAGAGCAGGGCGGTTTACTTGACGACGACGCGACGAAAGCCAGTTTACTGGCCCTGCAATACTCATCTGTTTACTCGATCGAGACGCCGTTACCCGATGACACTGCGCCAATCCACCCCTCTTCGTTGCAGCACATAGAAATGAGTGTGGCTGACGTGGCCAAAGGCCTTCGTGAATTAGATCCGAACTCCTCGCCGGGTCCTGATGGACTGCACCCGCTGTTCCTCAAGACCGTGGCGGACTACATTGCTGCTCCCGTCTGTCAGATATTTCGCCACTCTCTGGAAGCTGGACGACTCCCGGTTGCTTGGAAATTGGGGACCGTTAAACCTATATACAAGGGAGGGGATCGTCAAGATCCTGCAAACTATCGACCTATCTGCCTAACGTCCGTGCTGTGCAAGTTAATGGAAAGGATTCTCAAGCGCGCCCTGCAGCTTCACTTCGAGAATCTTAACATCATCTCCTGTGCCCAGCATGGCTTTCGGCGGGCACGCTCATGTACCTCGAACTTGCTTGTTGCTAGGGAAAACTGGGCGAGGTCGTTAGACGCTGGGAAACGATTGGATGTGGTTTTCGTAGACTTCAGCAAGGCGTTTGACAAGGTCCCCCATGAAAGGCTCCTTCTTAAACTCCGAGGTACCGGTGTCTCTGGGAATGTCCTTTCCTGGATCGCTGATTTTTTGAATGGCCGGACCATGCGAGTCAAGGTGAATGAAGCCTACTCCACTCCTGTGCTGATGACTAGCGGTGTTCCGCAAGGGTCAGTACTTGGTCCAGAACTGTTCAAGATATTCATCAATGATCTCCCATCGGAGCTTCAGATGGATTGCCTGGTTTACGCCGATGATATGAAGCTGTGGATGGAGGTAACCTGTCTTGAGGATGCTGACAGATTGCAGGCATCATTGGACATTCTACACGACTGGTCAGTCAACTGGCAATTGCCCATAAATTGTGAAAAATGCTCAGTTCTCCCCATAGGCGCCCTCGAACCGTTCGGGATATACCATATTGGTGGGGTGTTACTCAGAACCACCATTCTTGAAAAAGATCTCGGTGTGCTTGTCTCACATGATTTACGGACCTCAGAAGACACACTACGGAGGGTTGCCGCTGCCACCAGGATGTCCCATGCCATACGGAGAGCCTTTTCGAGACTGACTCCGGAAATTTTCAGAATCCTGTTTACTTCTCATGTGCGCCCGATCCTTGAATACGGACTACCCGCCATCTGTCCTCTTACCAGGTTCGAGTGTAACATGATTGAGAAGGTACAGCGGCGTGCCTCGAAATCCATACTGGAGTTAAGGGACTTGCCTTACCCTCATCGACTACAGCGGATGCACCTGTTCTCCCTGGAATATCGCCGACGTAGAGGTGATCTGATTTTTACTAGGCGAATTCTGATGGGGGAAATGGGGATGGAGCTACAAGCGTTCTTTCAAGTCAACACTAATAGTTCCACTCGGGGGCACAACTGGAAACTATATAAACCCAGAAGACTCAGAGTTCGCTCCACTCTCGCTCTATCAACCCGCATTGTCAATGACTGGAACGACTTGCCGAAACATGTGGTCGACGCGCAGTCGGAGGAATGTTTCAAGCGATTTTTGGATTCTCACTTGATGAGTAAGCTGGGACCCTGCTTCTTCCAATGTAGCTGTTACGGCCCCTTGTGGAATACCGTCTCGTAGCGACTCACGGCATCCACGCAATGATCGGGAAGTGAAGGAGCTGACAAAGGACTTTCCTTCTGCTCTCTACAATCCAATGATCCAAAAAGAAGAAACCCGAAAGTGCGATACTTATGTGACCCGGTAGCCAAAGGGGTACAGGCTTCGGTTATTATTCCAGTGGTCGCGGGTTCGAGGCGTACTATCTCCACCTGATGAGATGAGATCACATCGAAACGCGTCGTGGTTGTGCAGTGTTTTCTGGCGGGCAGCACCCAATTTCCATCTGCTTTGAGTACGGTCCCAGTGATCGCCGTGACTAAGGTTCACTTCAATGTGAACCACAGTCCAATGACATTGAGATTACGCGTCGCAATCTAATCACACAACGTGTAGTGCAAACTTGACCCACCAATTAGTCATTACCGTTGCGCCAAGCGTTACCGGTCGTGACCCGGTAGGTAAAGGAGTAGAGGTTTCGGCTACTATTCCACTGGTCGCAGGATCGAGGCCTACTGTCTCCACCTAAAGAGATGACACCGAAACTCGTCGTGGTAGTACAATGAACAATGAATTTATACGGGTTAAGAAGCGTTGCTTTACAAGCCCCATTGGATAGTTGGTGGGGATATCAACATAATAATTATGATGAAAAGGATAGTAAAATAGTTAACACTTTTAGTACGAAACAAGGACTTATCGTTTGCTTCGCTGCAGTCCTGCGATCCTCTTAGATTCACAACACCCACAGTTAACAACAAATAATTCCATGGTAAACTCCAGGTGTAGGATGGAGACATAGTGTTAAGTAACAAAGTGTAAGTGGATGAGTGCATCGTCCAACCGTCTTTTAAATACTGTTAGTGTCGGTGCAGAGACGACCGATTCTGGGAGAGCATTCCACGTGTGACAGACACGGATGGAAAAGAAATTTCTGCGGCACTCCAGACGACTGTATTGTTCTGCGAGTTTTAATGAGTAGCCCCTCAAATTTGGATTGCTGCTGAGTTGCAGTGAAGGGCGGCACACATGATGTGGGTCTCGCAGAATCAAGTATGTCATAATCAGGTCGCCTCGTAGCCTGCGATAGCTTCCACTGAACAATCCTAGTCGTCGCAGCCTCTCCTGGTAGGACAGATTGCGCATTCCAGTTACGTTCTTAGATGCCCGGCGTTGAGGCTGCTCCAGTGCGTTAAGGTCGTGTTTCAGCCATGAATGCCAGGCTTGAATTGCATATTCGACATGGGAGCGAACATACGCACTGAGCATTTGTCGAAATATGGAGCTGTTTATTTGTCCAAATGCCCGCCTCAACAGCCCAACGTGTTGATTCCCGGTCTTCGGGGCCTTTTCCGATTGCCTGGAGCAACCCAAGTCATCTTGAACCAGGACACCCAAGTCACGTTCGAGAGTTGATTGTTGCAGTACATCCGTTCCGAGTCGGTATGAGTAGCTGCCCTGATGTCGGATGGAAAGCACCTTGCATTTACTGACGTTGAAGTGCAATAAGTTTTGGATCGACCATTGATACACTGTATCTAAGTCACTTTGGAGCACATGTTGGTCGGCGTTCGTCTGGATCCTGCGCCAGATCTTGATATCGTCGGCAAACATTAGGAAGTTTGAAGCGATTCCCTGTGCAAGGTCATTAATAAACACCAGAAACAAACGTGGACCTAGAACCGAGCCTTGCGGCACACCACACTCGACATGTATGGGGTCCGATAAAGAGCTCCGAACTCTGACCACTAATTGCCTTTGAAATAGAAAGTTGGCGATCCAGCTTAAAAGAGGGTCTCCGATCCCGTAATGCTGCAGCTTGGATAGTAGTATCCGATAGTCTAGACGATCGAAAGCCTTGGAAAAATCCAGGTAGATCACATCAACACCTTCTCCAGCGTCGGCTGCCTCTGTCCAACTACTGCGTGCAATTAGTAAATTAGTTGTACATGACCGCTGTCGACGGAAACCGTGCTGTTCAGGAGTGATGAGGTTGCGGTTTTCCAGATAGCACACCAGTGCATCGGCAACTATAGATTCCATGACCTTGGAGAGGATAGGAAGAAGGGTTACTGGGCGGCAGTTGGAGGGATCAGATCTGCTTCCACCTTTGTGAATCTGGCTTATTATTCCAAGCTTCCACATGGCGGGAACTTGGTTCTGGTCTAAGCAGTGCTGGAAAAACTGAGCTAAATGTCCTGCCAGTTGGTTTGCTGCTACTCCCAATGCCTCAGGACGAATGGCGTCGACACCCGGCGAGCTGTGTTTGCGTAGAGAAGTCAGCTTTTGCAATACAGCCTCTGCGGTGAAATTGATGTGGGTTAGTCCTGGTGAGCAGAAGACAAAGCTTGGTAGATCGCTAGGTGGCAAGACTCTTTGCAACGTGGGGGCGTATTGCATCTGCAGCGCTTTTGCAGCTTCCATAGACGTGCTTGTTGGGCCATCAGCCGTCTTGAGTGGAGGAATTCCTTGCCTCACCTTTCGTAGTCTATTAACGTGCTTGTACAGCAGTTTGTGGTTAGCACTGAAGGTTTTTGCGATGTTCTGCTGATTGGCGGCTTTGTCTTCTCTTAACAGTTGAGTGCAGTGTTTACGTTGGGCTACGTAGTTGTCCCACGTTTCTGGTGCTGGAGCTTCTCTGTACACTCGCCATGCTGCGATGCGTACTGTCATCCATTTTCGGGTTCTGCTCCTAACGAAAGATACGGATTTGCACTTATTGTAAGCTTTCATCTCTGAAGTCTGTGCAATCAGCTGACTGAATGTGTTGACGAACTCGAGCCAGGCGATTTCTGGGGGTTCTTCTTCGAGGAAAGACCATGTTGTGGCGCTGACTAGCTGGGCGAGTCGGTCGTACCTTGTGATGGTTCGCACAGCCTCATCTTTATCATTCCGATATTCTGCATAGCAGACGAAGTTGAAACTGATCACTGCGTGATCATTGCGACCCAACGGGCAGTCTAAAACCAACGCATCAATCATGTGCTCCTCGTTGGTAAGCACAAGATCCAACACAGATGGCCTGTTACCAGTTCTGAACCGAGTGGGCAAAGTGATGTGGTTGTAAAGAGGAGCAGTAGTTACTAGGTCTTGTAAATCGGTTTTGAATTGTTCGCCGGTTGTGGCAGGGGCTTCTAAACAATGTACGTTGAAATCACCCATGATAAGAATGTAAGTGTACTTCGGTTGCAAACTGCACCTTAAAGCAGCCATTAGGTGGTAGTCGGTTTCGGGTGTTGAGTTAGGGGCGCGGTACACCAAGATAATAAGGCAAGCATCCCTGCCTTGTAACTGCAACCGGCACCAAAGAGAGTCGGGGAACTGCGAGTCTGAATCCTCCACGGCTTCGCACTGTAAGTCGTTTCGGTAGTACAGGATTACCCCTCCTCCTTTTGTGAGCCTATCGTTCCGGATCAGCGACATGCCGGGTAGCGACACTTCAGCGTCCGTCATTCCCGTGTGCAACCATGTCTCGGTGATACCAATGACATCATACGATCCGGAAGCTTGGCGATCTTTCAGTTCAGCCAGTTTGTTAGAAAGTCCCTGAGCATTTGTATACAAGCAGGCCAGTTTCCCGGTCTCTAGGAGCCCGCAGAGAGGTGAAGCTGTCAAGTGTGGGAGAATGCCCACCGATGGGAGGTCGGCAGTTAATCGTTTTTTGATGGGTCAATGATACCTCGTTTGCAACTTGCTTCGGCCAAGGTGCGTCCCAGCCTACGTTTAGACCCACGTCAGAGTCAATTAAAGCAGCAGTCAAGTTACACTTCCGTACATCCGTCGGTATGCTTGCTGCTTCAGCTGCTTTAATATTTGAGCTGTGCGAAGTGTTTGAGACCTTTAACCGAATTTCGGAAGGAAGATGTTCCTGATTTCTCCGCCATCGATCCAAAACATCCTTTGCTTGTTGCTCTGACTGAACCACAAGTTTTAGGATTCTAGGGCCGCATCCTCTATAATTCGATGAGAGAGGTATCCTGGTGAGCGATAGTGCCACAACATCATCCAAAGAAAGTGTTTCACGAATGAACCGCCACTGTTCTAAATCGTGCTTTCCGGTCTCTTGAACATCGTTAGAATGATGTTCTGGCACGCCATGTATGAAAATTGTGTTTAGGCGGTCTTGCTTGCTGTGCCCCTCTTCGGTGTTTCGTTTTGATTGTCGCGCGCTCCAAGGGACATCAGGATAGGTACGTATCGCACAGGATTCGTGTTTTAGCGCGCTTGCGGAGAGCAAAACATTTTCCACGTCGGTTGAGGATTCTAGAGTTACTCGGATAAGTCTGGGTTCACCATAGTGTGGCGAGTTCGGATGACGAGTAATTCGTAACAAGTTTATGGGCTTGGCTTTGATACTCATCTGCATACACAATGAGTTCCATTGGTCTTGGTCGTCTGATAACTTATCCCGCAATGTGATGGCGGTAGATTCAGGGACATTTGAGCATACAACAGTTCGGGCACTTTTGTTGGATCCCTTTTTAATCGATCTACAAGGTATGGTACTCATTTGTCTTGACTTGTTGACAAGTGTTTGTTTGCTGTTTTTCTCTCCATTTGCGTTAACGGTGTTTACAATGGAAGAGGACGCAACGGCGGCCTCTCGGTGGACCCTTGCAGCAATCTCTGCATATGTAACCGATCTTCTGGGAGGCTTAGTCTCGACAAGAGATATTTGAGCTACAGGTACCAAGGGTTGGTGTTTGGCTGCTCCATCCTTGTTAATACTAGATGTCAGGTCTAGTGGAATATGCTTAACCAAACGTTTTGAATGGTGCCTGATTTTCTTTGCTATGAGTACTGCTTGATTCACGTAGGTACAGTCTGTTTTCGCCCGGCGTTCTATCAAAGTTGGAGAAGACAACGGAGATGGAGACATGGCTGATTGCGGTGCAGGCGAAGCGATTTGTTCAGCATTCCGTTGCTTAGCAGCCGCTACGCTTCTGTGGTCCATACTCGCTCCCATTGAAGTAATCTCATTGTTTATCCTCTGCTCTGCTTCGGCGATTAACCGGTCGCATTTCTCAGCTAGGATAAGCAAGCACTTAACGAGGGGGATGGTGGAACACGCAGTACAGAAC